TGTCGGTCACAGCTTTTGAATTTCCATGTAAAATATCCAGGCAAATATAACTCCTTGACAGCATAATATAATACATATGTATAAATAGTGTTCTTTCAACCTTTATTTTTACTGTACCTGGCAATTCAGAGATTGCACAAGCAGAAAATTAGAAGTGATACAGTTTTTACACCCTGTGGTTGGCTAGTTTGGACAGTTTTGCACATAGAATATTGTATCATTTGGTTGTCAAATTGCTCAACTAAATCCCCTGAACTTTTTTTTAAATGTTCCCTTTTCCCTGTCCTGCAAAATCGATGGAAAAAATACAGCTCATCTGTTTTAAAGACCTTCTCCATTTGCCCCATAATCATCAGTACTATGTTATTCCTTTATCAGCACTCTATTATACTGCCTAATAAGGTAGCAGTAAAGGGATATGGCACAAGCCTTCCGTCATATTTCATTGGCGGCTTCATGTAAAATCTGATACAAGAGCTGTTTGGCTTTAAGTGCTATTGAGTACAGCCCAGTGAAAATAGCACTCATCCATGCACTCTAAAGAGACTCCGAGCTTTGTGTCCCTCTCTTTTCAGAATCCCTGCTTTTACTGGCACTGCTCCTCAGCCCGACCGATGCGCTATAAATACGACCCTCTGGACAGCCACATCCTTCCACCCAAAATAAATCTCGGGGCCTTTGAGCCGAAGCAGACGCGCACTACTAGAACGGTGAGTTAATGTTAATCCTACATGAGAGCCAAACAAGAGACTTCCTAAATCACAATATAGTAGTTGCACTCTGAGGAGACAGCAGGTGGTGATGCCTTGAGTTATGCCGCCTAGAAGTGCTTCGGTCTGATGTTGAGGCAAGATGTAAAAATTAGAAAGTAAAAAAAAAAAATAAATAAATACAATTAAAATGTTCTGTTTTGGGGTTTGCTCTATTAACGTTAACACTTGGAAACAAAGACATTTATTATTTAATAGAATAAAGAATATTTTCTCTCAAAATAGTTTAATGTAACACTTTGCTACAGAGAAAGTGACCTATAGGCACCGACATTTTCATTTTTGTACATACCAATATTTAATTTCTTTATACTCTGATTTATTGGGATTTTTACTCCAAAAATACAAAATTTCCCAAAGCCTCCATAATATTTCAATCTGGTATGTCAACAAAATGAATTGGAGTTAATATGTGTATTTTTTGGCATTTTTTATGCATATTATATAAAGACTGTAAAAGATGAAAAACACTTTGGAACAAAAAAATCTGATCTTTTAAAACAAAGTATAGTAGAGACAGCATGTAAGTGAGTCTATGCAAGCATTTCAGTTGTTCACTGTTCTAACAGAGAGAACTTGGTTTTCCTTCCAGTCTTGAGTGTGTCTGCTGAGTGAACAGAGTGGGAGCCAGCGAACTGCAGCCCATCACACGACATGGTTAGACCCGGCCCGCTCCTCCTGGGACGCTGTGGCTCTGGCACCGGGCAGGTGGAAAACGGAACACGGTGAGAGGCTAATCATGAGGGTGTTGGCTCTGCTCTGTCCTCCTTCAGCCCACAGCTCTGCCCTCTTACCGGCTCATCCTGTGTGCTTTTTACAACTGTCATCGCACATTTGCAGTGATGAGAAACACAGGCGCTGGGAAGAGGCGTAGAAAAAGAGCATTTGCATTGACATTTTGAAAGTAGGTGAATGAGATAAATTAGTTCATCAATAACGAAACTGAAAATCCATATATTTTAACAATTTTCACAAATTTTATGGACTGACCACAATCATACATGTTGATGAAAAAAAAATCATGACAGAAGAAATGACTTTATGCCAGTTTTGATTTATTGTGGATAGGGCCAGCAATTACTGAATATGAAATGAGGCATGTGTTAAAAAAATATTTTAAAATATGTTTTTCATGCTTGTTTGAATAATCCTGTATTTGAGACTCAAGTTCTCTAAAATTTTCAGTTTTCATCTACCTCCTATCTCTCCCCAATCTGCTGTACTGCAGTTATTTTAAAAAAAAGTACAGTTATTAAAAAAATAAATAAATAAATCTCACTCTGTCTCAGAATTGTCACGTCTATTTTTCAACAATAAAAACATGTAAATGAAAATCCACTGCTCCACTGTGAAATTTCACAGTTGTCAAGTCAGTGGATCCTACTATTAAACCATTTAGCATGTTCATTTACTCATAAACCATTTTAGCCAGTTTAGCAGCTTTCATTGTAGATCAGGTCAAAACATTTGCTTTTGGACAATTAAAAGACAAATCTACCACAGAAACTGACCTATAAACCAAAAGTTTGCTATATATTGTGCACTGTAAATATTGCATGTATAAAGCACTTTATATGTGTACACTAGATGTGTACACACTGATCATTATGTAGGCTGGCAAAAGTAAAAGAAAGAACAATTAATTTCTCAAGACAGGTAGACACATTTATCCCTGTCTTCTGCCAATCTGTCACAAGCCTCACCCTCATAATGCATAACACACAGCATGATATTCTTTCCTTCCGTCTGTGTTGTAAGCTGGAATCGACCTGCCGTTGTTTTCTTTGCAAAAACACCTGTCTAAACAGCGGCAAAGCCAAGGGCACGTCTCGCCTGTCAACGACAGTGACAGCTCTCGACAAAAAATTCTGCCGAGACAATTCCTAAGACGTCCAGCCAAGCGAGACAATGCACGTGTGCAGGAATGACCCCAGCTGCCTGCCGGCCCCCTCACTCAAACGCCTCCTTGTTGGTGATCGAGTAGATCAATGGCACGGAGCACACCTGGATGAAGATTCAAGGCCTTAATAAAATACAAACAACAGATTCATAAACGCTCTAATTTATTAAGATATATTCAGGCTTAGTTACTACCTAATTGTTGTGAGTACGCTAGTTGTTAGTTGTTTTGCTTGCTGTTGTTATTAATGTGATGGTAAAACATCACTCCGGCTTCTGAAGCTTGTGAAAAGTGTTTACTCATCACAGTGAATCTGATATTATGTTAGAATGACAAGAAGAATAACTTCAATACAAATGTGCTAAAAAAGTACTTCTGACATTGATTACAGCACCCTTGGATTAAGTAGTTACTAAACTTGAATCATTCTTAATAAAATATTTGTTCATGATGAATTAAGTTCTTTGTTTATGCTTTATTAAGGCTATTAAAAGTGTAGTTATTATTATACATAAAGGGTCACCAACGAAGAGTCTTTGTTTTGTTTGTCAGTGCGTGCGGTTTCAGATGCACCTCTTAATCCTTCCAAACACAGGAGCGGTGTCAGTGACTTGGCTAAAAAAATAATCCCAAACGCACAAGCCTCTTACAGTCATGCGGAGGCAACAAAAGACAGGACTATTTAAGTGATTAATTAATACAGCTTACAAGCATTTATGAAGGCATTTGTATCATCTGTCCTGAGTGGATTTAGGGGCTGTTTCAGTGCAGATTTAGTGAACAAAGACCAGGTGGCTCATTAGCTAGCTTAGACTTAGGTGGGTCTGTATAGAGGGGATCTCAGAGGTGGTCAAGTTTCAGCCTATTGGTAGAATTTCAACACGCGGATGCTTAATCTGTAGTGCCCTCATCAGCCACAGTGCAGTTCCCACAAGATGAGCCGCTCCAGGGCCTGTTTCTTTTAAGGTTCTTGTTATTGTCACGGGATGAAAAATTGGCAATGAAACTGAGGCCAGAAGGCAATGTACTTCTTCTCTGTGAACAATGCTCACGTAATGGGAGCCTTTACAAAGCTTTGACTTAGATGCAAGTGCTCCAGGTTTTCTAAGTCAGAAAATGAGGAAAAAAGTGTGTCAGAATGTTGACCATAGAGCGGTTTATTTTGAAGCACATGTTTGTGATGCTGTAACTATACAAATCTATTCAAGTTTATACATCTCTTTTCTACACATTCAGAAACAATACAACATAGGCAAAGGCATTATGAAATTAAATTCTACTGGGCTTAGCTTATTTTACTATACAAATACATATTGTACATATATATGGCAAATACACAGTACTTCATCAATTAGGTCAGATGTCTTTTTGTAAGATGGTATGGACGACACAGATGAATCATGCCATTTGCTGTAATCCTGTGGTCCATTAATGAAGAAGTCAAGAGTGGACAAAAAGTTGGGAACCTGTAAAATGTGAATAGTAGATGAAATGATCATAAAAGATAATACAATATTTTTTTATTTGTTAAAAAAAAAAAAAGAAAAAAAAAGGAATAGAATAGATTGAATAAAGTGTAGCACAAAACATATTTGAAGTACAGCTGAGTGCTTTCCACTTTTTATTCCTTTTTTCCATAGTTTTCAAACATTGGGAAGTAAGTTTATGATAACTGTCAACACTGAATAATTAATTGTCTAAACTCCTTCATCAAAAGGATTGTAATAATGGGACCAGTACCAGTTTTCATGAGCAGCTATTCATAAAACTACAGGGATTTATGTAAGCTTCTAATTGGCAATAATAAATATCACATTAACATTTTTCTAACTTCTCACCCTGCAGTCCTGTGGATGTCTATTAGGAATGTATAGTGGCATTTTTCAGTCATTCTAAAATAATAAACAGCAGCAGTATTTCCTGAAAAGCCAGCGTAATACCAACACACAAATCAAGTATTTACCACTCGCCTAGATATTAATAGTCGAAGAAATTCATAGCTGCGTGTAAACTTTTAAAAGTGAGGTTCCGTTTACTTTTCGCTGAACCACCCAAGAAATCACTCCTGGTAAATATCCGAACTACAGACCAGGCCCTTGAAAACCACACAGTCTGTTTTTCATCTCATCAACTGGCAGCACTCATCCACCAGTCACTATGAGAGGAGCAATACTGATGCGCCGTGTTACACCTCTGAGTCACATTTGGTGTTAGGTGTTTGGAGAGGTCACTGCAGCACACACATGGAGCTGCGCGGGGGGTTCACTGTCCGGGTCACAGAATCCTGGCTGTAGTTCACGATGTCTGCCTTCACCACACGCTAAGGCATAGGGGAAAAAAAACAAGAAATTAACACTGTTAGAATCGATGCAATGCACAAATCAAAATGACTAATTTAGTTCCAAACACTACAAAAAATTGTAAATGGGAATATCTAGCATGCGTGAAATTAACTCATTTCATAATGGATTTGAGTAATTTTAGGGTTAGATTTGATTTCTGGTTAATTTCAAGATTATTTATCTAATTTTCAATCAGTCTAATGTTAAACCCAAAGAGAGTTTTAGATGCCACATACTAAACTTGGCGTTCATTCACTATAGTGCAAATGCTTGTTTCGCGACTCTTTTGTTGACTATGTCACTGCATTTTTGGCTAATGAATCTGTAGAGGTTTTGCACTGCTGCTACAAAAATGGCAGATTTTGTCAATAACGATCACTTTTAGATGTTTAATACCGAGCTCTATTATATAGCCCTTGTTTTCTTTCGTTGATTTTAAGCAATTACGACTATTTGAAAATAAATACATATTTTTCTAACCCATGCAAATAAGTAAGCATGACATATGAAGCATTCTATCAAACTACTGAAATAAGATTATTATTCTCAACTAATTTAACTACTGGACTACTCTACAGACTGTAAATCTTATTGAAATGTGATCTACAAGGAGGTTTTGGCATTTAAGTGGAGAACCATGCAGTGATTTAGGAGTCAGCGGTCATAGTGTTTGTGGACTCCTGCCCCACACCAGACAAGAGGCCGGGGGAGGTCAGGAGAACGGAGCCGAATACATTAGCAGCATGGAGGTTTTTCTAACTGTGTCACTCTACTAAGTCAGCAAAACGCACAATCTGGATTTATCATTAGCCGAGAATAACGGATTAGACTAGTGCTGGGAAGCTACAAACACAAAAAGTCAGTGTAATGTGTAAAATGTGAAGAAACCTGAATTCTGTGGTTTGTAAATATTAAAAAATATGACAATGACAATTTAAGTTCTGGGAAATCTATACAGTTCTATGGCAAATGTTATAGTAATTTTATATATCAAATTAATTATGGGAGCAACCAGCATAATAACAATATGGTAAATTAAAGGTGACAAATATATTGCAATTTTTTTCAGTGCACAATTGAATCTGTATAGTCATTATTGTTTGTTGGCCACAGTCTAGTATAAATAATGCATTCATTTTTGCTTTACATTTTACACAAAGTTCCAACTTTTTTGGATCTGAGTTTGGGGGAAAACTACTTGTTGCGACATACTTCTTGGGACTATTGGACAGAACATATTTTGCTCTTCTGAGGAATCCTTTCTTCTCTAGTTAGGCCGTCATCTTGTGGATAATCCACCAAACTAGCCTTTACAATCATCTGAAGAGCGCAAGCAAGATGTAGAAGAAGAAGAAGAATAAGACAAGAAAGAAGAAATAGATAAGGAAGACACAAAAAAAATGCATGTAATGACTGGAGAAAAAGAAAAACAAAAGGTTAAAGACAAGATGCAAGGAGCAGACATACACAGTGGAGAATGACGTAATGGCGCAGGGAGGCCCACTGCCAGACTGGTATTATGACATCATGTGAGGCTACAGTCGCTGCTTGAAGATTATAGTTGAAAAAGAAACTATGTCGTAGGCTCCAAATCTGCCTAATACCAAGTGAGAATGACCACCGCTAACTGCTAAGAAAACATATGGATGAATGAATGTTTTAAATCTTACAACAGAGCAAGATTCAAAGCACATACCCTTACCGAATAAAGCTCACTGACACGTTAGTTAGGGCATGAAAAGTAAATATTTCTCCAAGCTCTCACAAGTCCTGTTGCACATATATATATATGAAGTTTTTGTGAATCTGTACAGATTTTGAACAAAGTGGAGCAGGGCTTGCATTAACATTTGATAACAGGATTTATAATTAGATGCAGATAGATTTAAATGTTTGACATACCCTTAAGAAGGAAAAAAAATATTTATAAATAATGTCTGTGGTGTTGTTAGTTCCTTATTTTATCCTGTTCATATAATTGGTTTTCCTTGCATGCATCCTACAGATTAAGAGTCCCAATTTAGTTCAACTGCTTATTGTCTAGTTTTTTTTTAGACCACATGAACCAATGCAGGGCCTGGCTGGTTATGTGACAGTTGAGGTGTGGAAGTGGATTATGAAGCCAATGAGTGATGTGCGCCTCGCTATCTGATCTGGGAGACACCCAACCATGACGGAGCAGACGGCCAGGCAGATAGAGTACTGTCAGAGGTCACGACCTCTGTGTTCCCCTCTCAATGCTGACAACTGATAATGAGGCTTCACTGGCCAAGGGCTAAACCTAAAGCCATGACCTGCTCTGAGCTACACCTCAATACATCAGTTCTAGTCAATGGAACAGTTCTACGTCTGTAAAATTTAACTATGGGGTTATTATGCTATATTATTATACTATGGTGGCAGTAGCTCAGTTGGTAGAGCATTCACCCACTGATCTGAAGGTTGGCGGTTCGAATCCAGCTCTTGACATAAACATCACAGGTTGAGCGGTCAGATCCACTGACCCACAGGTTGGCTGGTGTGATTCCAGCTCCCACAGATGAATGCTGTCGTTGTGTCCTTGGGCAAGACACTTAACCCACCTTGCCCAGAGTGTCTTGTTGTAAAGTGCTTTGAGCACCTTGAAGGTGGAAAAGCGCTATAGAAAAATGTGACCATTATGTAATTATGTAAATTTAACTGTGTTATTCTTCAAACATCTTGAGGAGATCCTCAATTTAAAAAACTGCATGACTAAAGCTTCCCTATATAGCAATACGTGCAATATTGATGAAAATCAGAAATAATTTTTATTTTTATTGTTTTGTTTTGGGTTTTTTTTGGACATTTTGATTTAATACTGCCACCGTTTAAAACGTCTTTGACATGTCTGTCAAGCTCAGTTTACATTTAGGACTATCATAATACAATTGTGGTTGTTTTAGTTGACTAGTCAAAATTATTCCAAGTAAACATTGCTGTCTTAGTAAGCAGCTCCTCCTGCAATATAGGTGAATATTTTAATTCTAGGTAAGAGGAGTCGAATTGTAGAGAATGACATAAGTTAAGTGCATCAGAGATCTCTCCTTATCCCTGTAGACTTCAATAGATGCCTTCATTCATCTGTCATGATTGGTCTTCTCTGGATTATAACACTTTACCTCACTGACACTGGGTCTAGGGAGGAGCGGAAGAGGCCATGAGACGGACAGCTCCATTAGCTGTGGGCATTCTCAGTCAGTCAGGAGTCGTGTCGCTGATGGGAGAGGGTCTTGAGAATTCACCCGGTCTTTTCCATACATGCTTTTTCCTTCCTCGAGAGTCCTGACCTCTACTGAGCCTCCACGCTCCTCTTCCCCTGCCCAGCCAGTGTGGCTCCAAGCGCCCATATCAGAGCCAGGATTGATGCTCTGGGGGGAGGTGAGCATGTAAATCCTGCAGCTGCCAATACTGGACACTGCAGTCTGCTGGCAGGAGGAAGCAGTAACCTCATCACCCTTAAACTGGCCTGCTACCTTTGACCTCTCTTCACGCGTTAATGTGCTCAATGTGAGCCTATTTACAAAGTGTCGGCATCACAACAGGAGGAAATGCAACAAACTCGTGTTTATACAAGAAAGGGTCATTTACAGAGTGTGGTCATGGGAAGGCTTCATTTTACTGATGCAGCGAAGATGACTTAACCATTCTACCACTGGCAATAGTACAAAAGATTAGAACTTTTTGTAAACTTACACTAAACTAAGTTAGTTTTTATAAGGAAACATCATCAAAAGTGTTGTAATATATATTTGTACAGAAGACACGTTAATAATATCTTATTATGTCATTTAATCCAAGAGATTACATGATGTTGGTGGTTTGTTTTGTGAGATAGCCTTCAATATTGCACATATTATGTTGTAAACCAAGTAATTGTACATAAATATTGAATAGACATTGGATCACAAGGACATGTCTGACCTGGGACTGCTCGATCTCTGCTTTATTGAGTTTTATACCAATTATCTCAGCAGCCAGTTTTTGGAAAATGAGATGCACCTGTAACAGACAAAAGCAAACTTTACAATGACTGCAGTAATCCCAAATTGAGCAGTTGCTCCGCTGTTGTACTCACAGAGTCGCCGGTCTTGGCTGAGACAAACTGGCTGAGGAGGCCATTCTCTTGGCAGAAGCGCTGGTGTTTGTCAGCCTTCACTGTCCGCATGTGCTCCAGGTCAACTGGAAGAAACAGTGTCACGTGACAAAGATAATAAGGTAGATTTATACAATTGTTATTCTAAAAATCTAGCAGGGTTAACTACCACACATCTCAACATAAACAAAGGAGATACCCGTTTACTCTTCAGCTAAGATGGCAGCTCTGTCAGATGGTCTGTCTAGTGTAAAAAAAAGATGGTAAATCTTAAAACAAACCATAATTCAAAGTTATATGCAGTTATGCATTTTAAATCTGCCAAATAAATTTATCCTTTAGATGACCCAAAGATGTCCTTGCCAGCTCATATGAATCACTCTACACATTCCACAATGTAAGCTTATAGGCTCTGTACATTTGCACCCTGAAGCCATGTAGGCCTACCCTGATTACCAAACCTGAAGAGAAAGTTATGAGACAATATGTGAATGCGAAAGTCTTGGGGCTAGGGTCCTAGTTCAGAGTGAAGATGAAAAAGATTGAGACCTATGAGGAGTTTTGAATTTTAAGATTCTCATTCAAGACTAAGAACCAGGCTTGACACCTCTGCTGATTTAGTGCTAAAGTTCCTTTTTCACTATTGTCAAGGTGTCCCTGTTGTTACGGATACCCAGCACTCTGCTTCTCACCTTCCTCACTGCAGGGTCATGCAGGGGTCAGTCAGAAAGGTCACCTGGGGGTCTAGCTGCTGAAAGCAATAGCCGCAGCCTTTATTTCTGTCTTTGTGTGCAAATGTGGCAACGCCCTGTATCTGGTGCATGAGTCTGTGTTAGCTGGAGGAGGTCAGGCTACTGTACGGTGTAGCGTTTCTCTAGTCCCCCCGAGTTTTACTCTTTGTGTGAGCTTTCATTGAGGTTGTCAGGGATTTAGTCTGTTCTCATGCCCCTTGGAGTGTGTGCGTGTGGGGCTCTGTGTGTGTGTGTGTGTGCTTGTGTGTCTGAGGGAGGACAGGACCAAATCAGGAGAAGACAAAGAAAAAGGACCAAATGCAAACACTGAGCTAATCCATAATAATTCATATCTCAGTAAGCCACATGACCCGACTAAGCAAAGGGCAAGCCATAATGACAAAACACACAGTTGGAAAGAATTATGTCAGACTAAAACTGACTATCACCCTCCTCACATGCACTGTTTCAACATAAAGCATTGTGGGTAGGGGCAGACACTTTTACGTGGGCCCCGTGGCCCCGCAGACTGTCCTGTGCCTGTGCATAAACAGAGCTGTCTCATAGGCGTCAGTGCATTATTAATTCCTGTCATTAACAGCAGAGGTACCATGCATGCTACTACATGTAAACAGTATTAAGCTGTTGGATCCTGCACTTGGGAAAGGTCATCAATCGTGTGTCATCATCAGATTAGTCAACATTTACTATTACAATGGTATGAGGAGCCTTGGGACTTAAGAGGGAATAAACAGTGTTAAACATGCCAACATCCCCATATAAAAAAAATAAATTTAAAAAGTTTGATGAATGGAGAAAATCTAGGAAACTGTAAAAAAAAATCTGTTCATCATTTATCACGGGAATCCCAGTGTCCCTCATGATTTGATATGGTGCACGATACATGGCTCACGATACGATATTATCACAATATGGCAACACATGCGATAATAGATATACTGCACATAATATATTGCTGTTTTTAAGAACCAAATACGTTTTAGCAACAATATTTTTGTCAATCCACGATTTGTGCAAAGTTAATATGAAATGCATCTATTTTATTCAGCAAAACAGTGAACATTGTATTGCATAAACAAGTTTGCTTCCACTAAATAAATAACAAAATTCACACAAAATCACAAAAAAAAAACACACAAAAAAAACACAGCAGCCCACGATATCGCTACTGTATCACCAAATTTAGTATCATGGTATATCAATATTTCAATATTTTGCACACCTCTACTTATGATTATAAAATGTATCAAAATATATGCATCTAAAGAAATACCAGAATTTTGGACCATGGAAATTTGCAAAATAAAGTGCATTTTAAATACCATTTTAAATACTATTATACTTCAATAATACCCTAGTTGCCATTACAAGTTTGCATTAATAAAAGAGTATAGAAATATTTTTATGCTTACAAATATTAAAGGTATTGTTGCAAAGTTAGTTCTAACTGCATACCATTATCCACCAGAGTTCAGATTCATATATCTTTCATACTGTTGGATATGAGTACTAGTAGGACACATGCTCTCACCAAAGACTGCAGCATGTGGCGTCTATCTGCACCGACCAAGCCCAGACTAATCCCACTCTATTAGTGTTTTGTCCATTTTTCTCACTAATGTACCCGTCTCTACTTATCAGGTTAAAACAATCTCACTCCGATGATCTGGTTTCCTTCCATTTCTGTCAAACTGCACATCAGCTTAACAACCCCGAGGAAGTGACTGCAAACACGAAATAAACTGTTTAGGCCTGAGCTGGCGTAGAGATAGTGGAGAGATCCTCTGTGTCTGGAGCCACGGCCCCCCTCTCTCCTGTCACACCAGTGTTTATTTAAGAGCACAGCCTGTCACTGCAATCACAACACAACACTCCGAGGAAAATCTGCTGGACAAATCAGGCTTTTAGCAGAAAATATTCAATTGTTATGACACGTTGCACAAAGAGGAACACAAATGAATGAAGAGAAGCCTGGCAAAAAATTGCAAGTAGATTAAATCAGTATAGAATTTTCCCCATAATTGAATTAAATCATTATATTGTTTTGTTAAAATATACATTTCATCACTTCTATTAGGATTAGAATAATTATACGAAGTAAAAGTCTTAACCATACATGATGGTGGGTTAGGCTTAGAGCCACAGAGAAAATATAATAAAATATAATAATTAAGGCAAGTCAAGTTTATTTGTATAGCACAATTCGTACACAAAGTAATTCAAAGTGCTTTATAGAATAAGAAAACCATTAAAATCACAATCAAAACAAATAAAAAAAAATAATGTATTAATTAGATTATGTGTCATCAACATTTTGCCATAACATTACAGATGTAATTTTTATGAACATATGTGCAACTTAACTTTAGTAAAGTGAAAAAATAAAGCAAAAAACAACATGTAATGCCCTTTTGAAGTAGTTTGGATTTTAGGGAATTCGTCCATTAATTCAAAACTGAACAAATAAATATCCACTCAGTGTTTCCCATGGATCTGGTTGAGACTGTGATGGCATAGAGGCTTATAATAATACAAAGAACAGTCGGATTTAGTTATGCCAAGATTCTGTCCAGTTAATTTTTAGAATATGGGGAACTATTTTAGACTATGGGGGACTACCATAGTCTCCTGTACAAATGGGAAATACTGGCTTACCCTCGCATGTTGCCACTACCAAATAATAGCCCGCCTTCTCTACTTTTGCTTACCTGCCTGAAACCTTAGACTCCTCAGTGGCCTATTTAAAACCACAGAGACACCTATGCAGACCTACTGAAACAGTCTCGATCTATGGCTGGGGAATACGCTTGACATAGCACAGTTAATTGTCAGCAGCATCATTTTAAAAGCAGCTGTGAGTGTGTGTGTGTTACCAACATGGTCACGTACGGGGCAGTGACTCAGGGCTACGAGGGGTCATATCCCATTAAGTGAAAGTTACAGGGTTGCGCCTAATCAACCCCAGGGGACAACCTATCACTTCCAACATTACGTCACGCTGTAGCTTTAAGAGAGTTTGACTTCTATTCCCAGATGACAACCGCACACCAACACAGACTGTAATAAGGGGATTATCATTGCAGCTCTTATTAATATGTTTCCAGCTAAGCAGCTCCCTACGCAGCACTACATCTCAATTACACTGACATGTTATGCAATTCTAACATTTATTAAAATCATAATTTGTGTGTGTGTTGATAGGTATTACCACAAATTAAGGTCAAGTGACATTATTGTTCCGTTCAAATGTCACTTGGGGTGTAATTTAGACATATGACAACATGCAAGGTACTGTTAAGGCAATACTGAGCTAAGCCTAGGAATGGTGGGTACATTTGGTAACAGTTAGAAATAATATATTCAAGGTGAAGTATTAAGTCAGACCAATCATCCATTTGACAATAAGTGACAGCAATGCAACCAGATTTTCCCAAGCTAGGAAAAATGTAACCTTTAAAAATTCAGCCCAGTATAGTGCATGATTTGACCTTTAATCGCAACAGTTTTTAGTCTTTTATTTTATTCTGAATGGTTCTGGAACTGCTTTTAATTTTTATAGTTTACTTTACAAACTCATTACCAGCATCCTAATTAATGTCTACACTTGAGTTAGCATTTTTCACAACTTCCAGCTGCGTGGGTGTTTTTCAGCTAGATGTTTTTAGCCACTGCTACAAACAACTAACATGCTAACAGGTCTGCAGCGTTACTTCCTGGTTTGTCGCTACCAAAAAATCTTTATAATTAGATGAAGATAGCACACAGCAGTCTCATTCTGAAGAACTGGTTTTATAATAGACTATTTTTACTTTATATTTACTTTATTTATTTTTTATTCCATACAAGTTACACTATTGAAAATTGATGTATTTTAAATTTGTGTAGAAGCATAATAGTAGTGTTACTCAAGTTGGCCTACTGTTGCTATATACATCATGGATGTATCTTGATTTAGCACAGTGCGAAGGCCTGCTTGCGCGTTAACAAGATGATCACGCTTATGGAAAGTGTGCGCACACAGATGCTGTGCTGTTAGCGTGTTAGCGCTGTGTACTGCAGAGGAGAGCAGAGCTGTGCAGCTCTCCTCTGGGGAATCCTGACAGAGACAGAGCACTCTTTGTGCAGAGGCGCCCCTGCCCTGGTGGCCTGAAACGGGCCGGCTCTGTCAGGGGACTGCCTTTCCACTAGGTCAGAAGTGTTCTGTCGACAGTTCATTGATCACAGCTCATCTTGTCATTTGATCGTTCTTCGTGAAAGCTCTGCAGACACACACACGTGCAGGGCAGTGTGCATGGAGTCATACTATGTGCCGAATCCAATGGAAAGTCATTAGG